AATTTTTATATGGATATAAGATTTGTGGATAATTGAGGTACATGAAGCACATTTTTTAGAGTAAGGGAAGAGAATAAGAGTATGTCTTATTGGCCTTCTACTATGGCAAAAGAACCATTAGCCATAATGATTTTTTTATCTATTGGTCAAGGATTATAATTGATGAAGTGGGTAGTAAAGTTTGTCATGTGATATTGTCAATGTCTTCTTCATTGAGTTTTTTGAGCTAGTCGGTGTTTCTGGGTTAGGCGACTTGTTGTGGTTTTGACATATGATGAGTCTCTTTTCTCATTTCTTTGGTTCCGCTCCTTACATGGAGGCTTTCTATGTATCTTCCAGCATGTATCCTTCGTATGTCTTGACTTCTTGCAAAAGCTACACCAAAAAGAGTTTCTGTCTTGAAATTTTGCAGTGTCTTTATATTTCTCCTTCCATGGCGCTTCTCTAGTTATCATTGTTGAGCTTTCAACTACTTTTGGCTCCAACCTTACACCTCGTCGGCTTTCTTCAGCATGGATGAGAGCGATGGTTTCATTTAGGGATGGTGTCTCCTTTTTGTCAAAGATTTGGACTCTTACTTAATAAAATTCTGCATTTAGTCCTGCAAGAAAATCATAAACTCAGTCTTTTTCAATAAAGTTTTTTAGGATAGCAATATCTTCTAGACACATGGGTTCTATGTACCTGTAGTGATCAAGTTCTTGTCATAAGTTTTGTAGAAGAGTGGCAAACTCCGTTACTGTCTTGCTTCCTTATTTTGTGCTACCTACTTTGATTTTAATTTCAAAGATTTAAGCAACATCCTGAGCTTTTGAAAAAGTTTGTCTGGCAACATCCCATATATTATTTGCAGTGGAAAGGAACATAAAGGTATCGCTAAATTTTGGAGTCATGGAATTTTATAACCATGACATAATCATGGAGTCCTCTTCATCTCATTCCCAAAATTAGGAACTCCTTCTGGCCTCCTCCGAGGAGGTGGTGTATTTTTCCTTTCCCTTTTAAATATGTCTTAACGAATTGAGACCATTTTAGGTAATTTTTCACATTTAGGCAGTAGGAAGGTTGCTTTGGAGATCACCTCGCTCTTGGCGTATCATCGGATCTTCAAATTGATCAAAGCTCTGGGATGAATTTTCTTTAGACATTGTGGTATCACTAGATTACTTTTAAATATGTCAGCAATAAAGGCTGATATTTATAGGGTTTTAATTAGGTCTCAAGCATAACTAAATCATGTCACCTGATTTGTTCTCACAGGTTCGAAAATCCCGTGAATAAGACAGGGAGATCTCGTACACATGAGCTGGCTCAAGCGGTTCCATCCAGCTAGCTTCCAAGTCCCGCAAGTTCCGTCCCATAGAAGTTTACGTCTATGTCTTTCATCGGCAACAAGTCATCCCGCGAGATCGTCCGCAAGGTTTCGTCTTCAATCGGCAAAGCTACATCCCGCAAGGTCATCCACACGGCTTCTTCTTCCATCTACTAGGCTCCGTTCTGCGAGATCGTCCGCGAGGTTTCTTCTTCTGTCGGCAAGGCTCCATCCGGTAAGGCTTCCGATGATTTCCTCTTTACTTCCATCATATCTCTGATATCATGTTAAAATCAAAGATTTGAGACGAAAACCCATAACTTTATTATACAACATCATCCATATTTATAGATTTATACAAGAGGTCTTACTAAGGAAATAAATAACTATAGAATAATGAATAATTGTTGTAATATAATCCTTCATAAATCAAATGTCTAGCTATGAAAGGTACTCCATGTGAGTCAAGAGAGCTTCCCAAAGATCTCTATCCTAAGCTGTTGGATTCATACAGGAACTAGGGGCTGAGATTTAACACTACTAATTTACAAAAATAAGTGATTAACCAAGTTAAATTAAATTAAATGATAGAAAACCAAAAGACAATAAAAAACTTCAGCAAATGCACACATCAAAGCTTACAATGTGAATAATTTACGCATCAACATTGCAAATACATAAATATTAAAATCATACAACCCATTAGTATGCATTTTTATTACTTATTATGTTAGTTTCTCTTCATTGGTGTTTCATCTTTGTCTCATTCTTCCATACAAGAGTGAATAACCAAAAAAAAAAAAAACAAATCTTGTTGGCCATCAAACCTTGAACAAGTTAATGGGACATATGATTGCATGTTTATAACATACCATTTCCGATATAGTAATTCCAATGTTGTGAAACCCGAAACCGGACAACGAACAAGGAGAGGTTCACAACCTAACCTTAAAAAAATTTATAATTCTAAGAATTTAGACTCATAATAATATAAAAGTCTAACTAAACTGGTTGATGTAATAAATATTAAAATTATTTAAATAATTTCTAAATAATATAATCATATCAAAGCGATTAAAAATAAAGAGAATTCGTGCATAATATTTTCTTATAATTTTAAATTTAAATATTTTTAAAATTTTAAATTTTATATTTAATTTTTCCAAAAAAATTCTCTTCTGAGGTTTTTCTTATGTTGCTTATATAATTTTCCTTCTTTCCATGAGCAAAGAGCCCACATAGGATGGTGAAATCATGTGGGTATAATTAGTTAATACTTAGTAAATAATAATTTAAATTTTATAAATTTATTAACTAAATTGTGTTATATTTAAATTAATTTAATATTTAATAAAATCTTTTATATCAAATTAAATTATTTAAATAGATTATGCAATGAACCGGCCGATTCTTAAAAATCAGGACCAGTTCAACAGTTGGCCGTTTGAACCAGTTCCCACTGGTATAATACCGGGCCGATTTTTCATGAGTATCGAACCGGTCATATATCTAGTTCACAGTATTTCACCCAACAAACAAAACAATAGAGTCAAAACTGGCAAGAATAGGGCAGGACAACTCAACATCCTAATTGAGAAATCATTGCCAAATAAAATTTTGGCAAGGCATTAGTGATTACGCCTTTTGCATTTAAACTGCATATTATAAGCAGGCAAACATAACTTCCATAAAATGCATAATTTTGCATAAAATGTCTAGATGGCGCATAGAAACAAAAATTGGACTAATATATTCAGAACAATTACTAAATTTCTACAGTAGACTTAAGCTGTTTATGGCTGGTAGAAATTTGACTGAAGGAATTTTAAAAAGTGGCAAAGGGCATAAATCAACAGATGCAGATTAATGATCAATCCATAAGTTATTAGGATTTCATTTCATTTCCTTAGCATTCCTCCAATCAAAACAAATCCTTAACAATTACTTTAAATGTAAAGTTATGTGACTCATACGAAACAGTAGAGACTGCACTAGAATAGGTATATTCTATAATCAAGGAGCCGGAGAAATCTTAAATATTAGCAGTAGTTACACAAATAGCATATTGCATGTCATAAAAGGTAACAGAGAGCTATTACTTTAAGAAATAAGACAAGACAAGAAAATATTCTTATGCATGCACAAAATCCACCTAATGTCAGCTAAGCATACGCAAATGATTGCTAAGTTATATCTTAGAACCATTTATGAATACCATCTAACACAAATGGTTATGATGATGTGTACTCGTTGCAATTATGTGGAGGGGTGAGGGTGCAAAAGAACGAAATCACAAGTGCTACCAATATCAAAACTGCTGGCACATTTAAAACAAACCTTTGATTCTAGACAAAGATTTAATAAAAAAATCAAGAACCTCATTTAGACTTATAATTACACAATAACAAAAAGCATTTATTCCATTACATGGGGTTGGCTATAAGAATCTTTTTTCTCCATTGTGTCCTGTTAAGAGGCAAATTCTCATCTAAATCAAATAAAAAAAGGACCTTTCTAATATTTTCTAATCAAGTCTTTTTATGTCTACCTTTACCTTTCTTAACATAGGTCAAATTTAATGCATCTACTTTCCTAACCACGTCATCGGAAACCCACCGTTTTATGTGACCAAACCATCTAAGGCGACTCACTCTAATCTTATCTTCCACTGGAGCTACTCTAACATTTTCACATATATGCTCATTTCAAATCCTGTCTCTAGGAGTAAAAAAGTCACTCATCCACCTGAGCATCCTCATCTCTGCAACACTTAACTTAATATTATGCTTCGCTTTTATTGGCCAACATTCTGTAACATAAAGCATTGCAGGTCTCACTAACATCTTATAGAATTTTCCCTTAAGTTTGAGAGGGATTTTTCTATCACACAATATGCATGATGCATTCCTCCACTTTAACCATCCAACTTGAATTCTACTAATAATATCCCCATCTATTTCACCATCACTCTAAACAATAAACCCATGATATCTAAAGCATGTACTCTTATTAATGAGTTGATCGCCCAAAGTCACAATTCCCCCACTAGATCTATTATTACTAAAATTACACTCCATATATTCAATTTTATATATACTCAAACGAAAGCCTTTAGACTCTAAGGTTGACCTCCATAATTCAAATTTACATTCAACTCCCTCTCTAGTCTTATCAACAAGAAGAATATCATCAGCACAAAGCATACACTAGGGTACAACCTCTTGCAAATGTCTAGTGAGAATATCCATGACTAAAGCAAAAAGATATGGGCTTAAGGCTGATCCTTTATGTAATCCAATTGAAATTGGAAAATATTTGATCAAACCACCTTGTGTTTGAACATAAGTAATAGCTCATGCATACACATCCTTAATGACTTGAATACAAGCATTATTAACCTTTTCTTATTAAGTCCTCGCCATAAAACTTATCTTCGAACTTTATCATATGCTCTCTCTAAATAAATAAATAAAAATCACATGTAGATCCTTCTTATTCTCTCCATACTTCTCCATCAAACCTCTCAATAAATGTTAAGACTTATAATTGAAAAAATAAGTCAAACACATACAAGTTCACCAGACAGATTTAATAAAAAAATCAATAACCTTGTTTAGACTTATAATTGAAAAAATAAAATATACAAAGTCAAACACATACAAGTTCAAAAAAATATATAAATGCTTACACAGTAGACCGTCTGAAATTGTAGCGCTTATTTCCAGGAGCTGGCAGTAGTGAAGAAGTCTGTCGCCTCTTACGGCATCCCCCTACAGAAAAACTTTCAGAATGAGCTTCACTACCTTCTGGTTCTAGTTCCCTTGATGGCCTTTTTTGCCTTGTTCCAGTTTGTGCTTGATCAGCTTGTACTGAAGCCCCTTGACTCTCATCAGGAATGTTTTGGGAACCTTTGGCATCATCATTTTGTTGCTCATCTATCTTCAATTCGGAACTTTCTCCAATAATGGCTTTGGCATCCTCAACAACAGCCTTTACGGACCTAGTTCTCCTGATGAGATTGGGTTTTGCTCTCCGGTTAGGTTTATGTCGCTGCACCTGCTTGGTTAAATCAGTCTGTGAATCATTCTCAACATGAATAGAAGATCCTTGCATTTCATCATTTTCATCATCAATAACTACCACAGTTTTCCGGGTAGCTTTAGCTTTATCAGTATCGATCCTAACAATATCATTGGAACTATCAGCTACACCAAAAGAAGATTCTACCTCATCTCCTGTTTTATGTACTCTATCTGGTTCTCCACTCATCCTATCTCCACAATCAAAATGAACCTGATTTCCAAAAGAATGATTACCTGAAGGTGCAGGTTCATAATCAGCATCCTCTAAAGCGGCTCTATTAAGTCGCTCCCCAAATGAGGTTCCAATCTGGTCATCACTAGGTAGATGTACATTCATTTTGGGAGAGATCTTGAACAGACTAGCACATCTTTGAAGCCAGCGTGTCATGTGGCTACCTGAATTGCTAGACCCCACAGCTAAAACTCTGGGTGAAATAACTGTGCTTCTACCTTTCATATGCTCTTCCAGGAAACCATCTGCAAGGCTTGGCAAAATAATTTCTTCTGAACCTTCTGTACTTTTCAAGGGCTGAAGATCAAGAAGATCAATGTTGTAAATTGGAACCCCACAGTTGTGGCAAGTTTTGCATTGCTCAACAGCAGAAAGAAACATTTCTTTCTCTTTTGCAAATTCTTCCCGTTGATCTTTCAGATTCTTGCTTAAGCGAAGAAGAGTATCAATGTCATTCTGAATTTCTTGCCGGTCTGCTTCTAACTTTCCCCTCTGATCTGAGAATGCTGCCTTTTCCCTCTGCAATTGATTTAGCTCCATCTCCAACCTTTTGCCCCTGAAATCATTTGACTCAGTTGAAGATTTGATGCGACTTAGTTCCACTTCTCTCCACCTTTCAAACATATTTTCCTTCTCTTTAAGTTCCTTCTCAACATCATCCTGTATCCTCTGCATGTTCATCTCAAGCTTGTGTTTCAGAAGTTCAAACTCTCGAGACATGTCAGCACGCTCCCTATCAACTTCTGCATGAACATCAGCCCGTTCTTGGGCCATCATGCTCTCAAATGCTTCTTTCTTCAATCTAAGATCTTCGAGCTCCCTCTGCGAGTCAGTTATAGCCAGAAGGCCCTCGTTTTTCAGCCTCTCCTCTTCAGTATGTTGCCACTTCTCAAACTTCTCTCTTTCAGCACTCAGCTGTTTAATCTCTGCTTCTAATGCAACTCTTCTAACATCCAGCACCTCCCAGTCTCGCTCAAACATCTCCTTCTCCTGTCCGAGCACATCCTTTTCCTTTTCAAGTGATTCCATCATCATCCGATATTCCTCTTTCTCTAGTTTAAGCTCTGCTTGCATTTTAAGATGCCGTTCTCTTTCTAACTGCGTTAATCTGAGATTTTCCTTCTCCAAGACAACCTTCTGTCCCTCAGCTTCAATAGCTGCCTTCTCATTATGAAGTTTAGCTCTAGAAGCTTCTAGCTCATTGGCATCCTTGATTAGCTGCTCTCTTTCTTCCTGCAACTTTTTCTCATCCGTTTTTAAAGAATCTTCCCACTTCTTCAAAGTTCTTGATTTAGTGTCAAGGACTTCTTCTTTACTTTTTAATTTATCAGTTTTTTTATCTAATGTCTCATCTCTTTTAACAATCTGTTCCTCTTTGCATTTAACTTGCCTTTTCTCCTTGTCCAGCAAATCCACGTGATTTTTTACCTCTTTATCAAAGGACTGCCGTTTTTTCACCATCTCTAACTCAAAGTCTTGTATCTTGGCATCCAAGGTTGCATTTTGCTCATCCAAAAGTTTTTGGATCTCTTCCTGATCATTAAGTAGAAATATATATAAGAATAACATTCACTAGAAACACATAAGATTAAGATGAATAAAAATAGATCATATGAGCAAATTACGGCCCCCTTGGTTGGTTGTAGATACAAAATATGCTATCAAAAGATGATTTTGATTTCCGTTGTATTATGAGTGAAAAGGAAATCATTATATTTGAGGGTGGGGTTTTTAGGAGTTCAAAATCCAAAATGATCTTTAATTGCATCCAACCAAAAGACAAAACCTAACAAATTACTTCATTCTTCTGAAAATTCCATCAACAAGGAACCAAATGGGGCGTACTCATAGATGGAAAGTGGCTTAATACTAGGAATAAAAAAATTAGAACATTAAACTTAAAAAAGAAAGAGGATGCAATCAACCCGGGAAACATCAATTATAAACAAAAAAAAAAGATTATGAAAAGGAGAAGCAGCAGTTGAACTCTAAGGCTTCGTTTGGGACGGCTTTTTTATTGCTTCTTAAAGCAGCTTTTGAGTAAAAAATTTCAACATTTGTACTAAAAAGTTGTTTTAAGAAGCAGTAAGAAAGCCGTCCCAAACGAAGCCTAAGTCAGTGAAAAGAAGGGGTGGGTAACTAAGGCACCCATAAGCTACACACTTCAATTTCAGAAGAGAACATTTTTATAGCATGGTTGCCAAATAAATTAACAAAAGCCTACAGAAACTAATAACTGCAACTATTTAAGGCCATACTGTGGGCACAAAGGCTTCAAGCATCCCCCCAGGGTTTGATGAAGGTCGATATATGCAGCCTTCAACCTACACAAATGTTTCTACAATGGAACTCCTGTTTCCAGGTCACGCTGAAGCAGCCAAACTATCGTTGCAAGCCCACCCTCTATTGAACAGCTAATTGCGCATTAATTTTCAAAAATATACCAAAATCTAAACATTCTTCTGTCCAAGCAAAGAAGACTCACACTTTCCCTAACACTTAGCCTTTCTTCTATTGCCATCAGATCTTCCTCTTTCTTTTCAAGGGTTGAACTCTTAATCTCAGTATCCTGCATCAATAATTAGCAGAACAACAAAACTATCAACAAGCATTTGACAATCCAAAATGATTGCTACAAAATATGATTTTGAGGGAAAACTAACCTGCTCTTTCACAATTAAAGTCCTTAGCCTTGCTTTAAGGCCATCCTCTTGACTTCTCAGAATACTGCTAGCAGCATCAATATTTTTTCTTGCATCTTCGATCTCTGCTTCCTTCTTTTTGAGAATTATGTCCATATCATTGGCCCTCTCCTCCCGCTCATTCAGAAGTCTTTGTTCATTAAGAAGCATTCTCTGTTTCTCCTGCATATCCTTTTCCCACTCCCGCAAATGTTCTCTCTGCTTAGAGACATCTGTTTCAATTGTTTTCCTCCTGGAATCGAAGTTCAGTTAAAATTAATAGAAAACAAAAAGATTTGTACCCAAAAGCCCATCAATCAGAGAACTGCCTAAACTACTAAGACAAGAAACAATTAAGGTTATGGCATACCCTATATTTAAAGAAGAAAGTTCTCTCTGCAGTTTATATTCACGAGCAGCCAGATTCTCCGATTTCCGATCAATCTCTGAATTCTTACGATTTGCCTCTGCAAGCCTAGCATCTGCACTATGCATTTTTGCTTCAATCTCCATTTTTTTCTCTTCAACGCTAGCCTCGATTGCATGTGCATCAGCTAATCTCTTCCCTGATATGAACTTAGTCTCTGCATTTTCAGCACGCATCTCATGCAATGCTTTTTCCAGCTGAAAATAAAACACAAAGGTTACTCTGAAGTTCAAAGAAAGATACAATCAAGAATTATGTATGGTTACGTGTTCCAATGGAACAATGAATTCTTACATACATCTAAAACACACTGCTTTTCAACTCCCAAAGTTTTTTTCAGATTTTCTTTGCGCTTTTCCAACTCAGATACAGAAATAATATGTGCATCACGTTTTCGCTTCAATGTTTCCTGTGATTCTATAAATGCTTGCTTTAACTCTTCAATTTGTGAGGACCACTCTTTCTTCTCAATCAGAAGAAGACCCATATTGTATAAGCATTCATCACGCTGCAAAGAAATGAGCAGGGAACAAAAACTTACAAATCAGCATGCACAGACATAAATATGAAAAGAATTAGAGGAAAAAATTACTAAGAAAACAACAAACAATATTGGAATTTGAAAAAATAGAAAGAAAGAAAGATGTTCAAATATAAAGCACAAGTTAAAAAAACACCGTTGTTCCAAAATTAATGAACTTAAACCTTTTAAGTCATAACAAAAAAAGGACAAACCATCTTATCATACCTTATAAAAATTAGGGAGGCTTGCATGCACCGAATCGCGCATAATAGAAAAAAGATGCTTAATAATTATTGCAGTGAAGACAAGTTTTTGTTATAACAATTGTAATAATAATAGGTCAAATGGTAAAGTTCATTCAAAAGAAGCATACATATAAGCATATATTAAAATTTAAACAATACTGAAACGGAAATATCTAGCTAATTACACACAAGGTTAGAGAAGAGAAAATTGCAATAAATCACTAAGAACGAATGATATTAAGGCTAAAAGTAATTCCCAGAAAAACATACCATGGTCTAAATAAAGGAAAAATGACAACTCTAGAATCTCATTGATTTCAGAACTGATAAATCGAATATGCCAGGTAATATGGAATAACTACAAAGCCCTAACTCTACTAAGTAGCTGTTAAGCCACAATAAATAAAATTGGTTTGGCAAGATTGGAGTAGAGTAACTCAAGGATTCTACTGGATGCATCATAAAAATACAATCTTAATGAATTGTGAATTTAGACAACTAATCAAACTTTCAAAAGCTTATTCATTCTCGTAAATTAATTTTCTGACAATCTGGAATTGCTAATTTAGATTTTTTTTGGTATACCAACAAATCAAAATGCATAAATATAACTAATCATGTCATATTCAGATAAACAATACCATCCATACCATGGCTAAAGAGAATAATTGCTCGAAGTGACACACAACAAGTATGCCTGAAATGCCTAGAATAAATGATTGTACTATTGCATTAGAAAGAATTAAAAAATAAAATATAAATAACAAGGTTTATTTTTTCACTCATTTCGTTATAATATCAACATGTTAAAAGCTAAAACTACCACTTGATTCATACACCTGTTATCTCAACTAAGGGCAGCAAAGTAGCACCATAAAATCTCTTTTAAACAAATCTACTTAATAGAATCAAATGTTCGAAAAATAGCAGTACATGCAGAATCCTTTGTCATGCTCCTATATGGTGATAATGTATTAAAGGGTGGAGTACATGATTGCCTAAGTAGTCTTTGGTTGAAAAGAAGCCTAAAACCTTGCCTTTACCTCATGAACGTATCTAGCAGCAAAAACTATTGCTACAAATTCATGCAATCAACTTAGTCTCAACTTAGCCAAAATACGCATGCCCATACAGACTAATTACATTGACCAACCCAAGCTAGCCATATACCTTGAGGGAATAACAACTACAAGAAGAAAGGACTAGGTAACAATACGCACCAACATTAGAATTACAACTGAATCAACAATGGGAGCTGAAGATTCAATTGTCAGCTCACCCCACCCAATCCTAAAATCAACAAATCCTATGAGCAAGTCACAGAAAGTAATCGACATTGAACAACCTTAAGAGGAAGTGCATAGCATAACATTTTCAACAACAAAGTTGAAATTGTTTGGCTCACTAACTTCAACAGAAAACCCCCTTTGGCTCATTAACTTCCTTCAATTTCACCTTCAACATCCACCCTTCAAAATCAAAAGCCTCCCTATTTTCCCTCACTGCCACATACAAGTTATGATTTTCAAGGAAAAAAAAAGCTTAAGAGGTTGTTTGGATGCATTATTTGAGTAGGATTTGAGCTAAATCCTGCCAAATGCCAAAATTGTCATGCTAAACCGCACAGTAATTGCAATCTTCACTTAATGGGGTTTTCCCACTTTTTTCCCTCAATCTAGATTTTTGGAGAATTATAGTCGAAGAAATGTGTGAAAGGTGAAAGATCGTTACCTTCGTGGCGGTGAGCTCCCGTCATTACTTCCAATCTAAGGGAAAAATGTCATCGAAGGAGGCAAATAAATTAATAATTAGTTAGAATTTAATAAAAATTTATAATTAAAATTAGTATTTCACTAGTTTAATAATTTAATAATTAATTTGAATATTAATATATAAGTATAATTTTGATTAATTTCATTGTAATGATGTAATATATATTAAGTTTATTAATTTATATTATTATTAAATTCTTATTTTAGCTAATAGACTTAATCCTGAAATAAGTATCCAAATAGCTCATCAAGATTTAATCGGATCAATCTCCTTCATGCCAAACAGTTTTTAGGATTTAAAAACTCATGATTTAGTAAATCTTTTAAAGGAGTAAAATATATATATATATATATATAAGAGAGTAAAAAAAAATTTTTGCCCCTCCTAAATTTTTTTTTGCCCCCCTAAAAAATTCTTTTGTTCTAATTTGCCCTAAAATATCTATATATTTTTTCACTTTTAGTTATAATATTCTCTTTAATATTTTTCATGATAGTTTAATTACACTTTTTTTTCTTGCTTAATTTTTTTTTTAATTTTTTTCGTAATATATAGATATATAATTTTTTTTTAATATTTAATTTTTTTTTGTGTTTTTTTTGCCCCCCTCAAAATTGAAGCTGGTTCCGCCCCTAACAATAACCAGTACTCGATTTCAGCAATTCTATAAGGAAAATAACTATTTTTTCAAACCTCAAAAGTGAAAAAATGCTTGTTACTAAATGCAAACATCTTCACAATTGTTTTTGTGAAGATTTCATGTATTATATGCATATTTGAAAAAAGTAATCCAGGAATTTCCCTAAAGGAAATTATTATACATTGCTCCTCAGAAGTTCAATCAATCACAATAAATGAAATTATTTTCAGATTTACCACTTATCAACAATTGCACATTCTTTTAAAATAGTACTAACCATCAGTTTGAAATATTTAACTCAAAGTATACTGAAAAAGGCAAGAAGATACTACCTTTTGAGATGAGAAAATTATCCATGCAAAGGTTCAGATAGCTGAAGTGGATGCTAGCGAATGAACCAAACCAGCACATAAGATAAAATTTTAGATTAATTGAAAACTCTAGAGATATGAATAAATGTAATATGAAAGTAAAAGATAGTTTAATGAATCATTTGAGTTTATAGATTATGAGGTTTATTAGGTTACTTAATATATTACTCTGGGTCACGTGTGGCTATAAAAACCACTCCTTGGGGGAAATTAGAAAATGAAAATGACAGAAAACACTTGAAGATCTCAAGTAAAACTTAACGATCTTGATAAAAATTGCGCGAAACTTCCACAAATCCAACGGAAAATAAGATAAAAAAAGGAATTTTATTGCAAAAACACAAACTAACGGAAGAAAATAGCAAGATACAATTGATCCTCTATTCGAGAGGAGGATCTATCTCTTCCAAATCTCTAAATGCCGCTAGAGCCCAAAAACCTAAACCTGAGAAATCTCAAATTTTAGCCAAATTCAAGATGCCCTAACCTTAGGAAAACAAACCATTTAATGCATGCAATTCAAAAGGAAATCTCTAAACAGTCCCTATATTCAAATTTCCCTCCTGAACTTCTCCCAAAACCTTCCTAATATGCTCTTCTTGCTCCATTCGGTTTGATCGGCATGTAGGAGGCGGAATCTTCTGCCTCTGTTGTTCGTAAGTCGGTCCAGTATGGACCGACTGGACAGGTGTAACAATACTCTCCTCCTAAAGACCCACCTTGTCCGCAAGGTGGGAAGACAACACCCTTTATTCCTTCTTCATCACAAATAGTAAGAACTTGAAGAGTTTGATCCTTACACCTATGCCCCGGCATATACGTCTAGTCACATCTGAAACAAAACCCCTTTGCCCTTTTCTCATATAATTCTATTTTTGTGAGTTTCTTGAAGTTGTCCTCCGGTCTTACTCCTACAGTCTTCTCCTTCGAAGTCCCCCGAAGAGTACCTAATATCAGCTCCTTGGATGCTAGAAAGATGGTGGTCTTCATGTTTGGACCTCTTGAGCTGCTGCCTATCGTCTCTCTCTCCAGGTGCCTCTGATCAGGGGCGGATCCAGCCTTTCTTTTCAGGGTGGGCAAAATTTTATTAAATAATAAGAATAATAATAGCATTAAATAGTAATAATAAAAAAAAATTAAAAAGAAATAACCCTTACAATTTATAATGTTGTCATCAATAAATTAAAGGAATTTCATATTGTTGCAAGCAAATAATCTAAATTTTTAGTAAATTAAAGGAATTTCACTTTGAAATAAATATTATGCACTTAAAGGTAACAATAAAGCATATCAAGAACAATTTTCCTTCAAATCCATTTCAATAAAACCGTATGAAACCAGTAACTTCACTCACATATTCAAACCAGTCTACGATTGCAAAGCAGTGAGTATTAGATCTACACTAAAACCTTACCGACACCAAAAAGAAAAAAAATGAGATTTTGTAAATTGGTTCTTAACAAAAAGACGATCAAATAGATTTAAAGCTTAAAGTATAAAAAAAATGTGGAAGAAACCACTAATCAAAAGCTAGATGAGGGAAATTTGCATCACCGCTCATTCCCTCAGCTCATCAAGGCCGCAACCCGGTAGTTATTTGCGTCTCTTTTTCTATCAATCTCCTCTCTTCCCTGAGATTCCTCTTTTTTTTTTCTTGTCATTAAGTGCTGGTTGCAGTAGGAAATAGGATCAAAGAGGAGAAAAAATATAAAAATATCCATAAAGAGGAGGAAGAAGGCAAATAAGGACAAAACAATCAATGCAGTGGAAATCCAACAAACGAGCCCACACAGTTCCAAGCACGCGGCACAAAAAAAACTGTTCGATTTGATAAAGCTACCTTCAATGAGCGGGAACGCCGGCTGCAATAATGCGACTTCCATTCTGCGATGATGGCGAAGATGAAGGAGGAGACCTCCACGAATGTCGAAGGGACGAAGGTTGTGAGTCTGGGGCTGCGAAGAGCTGATTAGCCGAAGAAGCAGATTGGCTACGAAGACAAGGGTTGCAACTGTGAATGCAGCTGCGATCTGCGAAGAAGAAGGCTGCGTACAAGATTAACAAAGGCTTCAAAGACCAAGGAGGCAACCTCTTCTGGGAGACTGGGAAGACACAATTTAGGAATGGATGGCGGGATGGGTAGCCACGCACGATGAGGGCAAAAAATATTTTTTGAGGGGGGCATAATTCCAAAAAGACCCTCCTTTCCTTTTTTTTTTTTTTTGAGGGTGGGCATTTGCCCACCCTGACTTGTGCGTGGATCCACCAGTGCCTCTGATCCTCCACCAATTGAGTTAGCTCCATAACCTCTCCCAAATCATGAGGCTTCATTACTCTAACCACTGCCCGAATCGGTGGTGTCAGTCTCTTCATGAAATTTTTCTTTAGCACTATCTCAGGAAGGCTGTCCAATCGGTTAGCAAGATACTTGAATCTCTCCCGATACTATATCACTGAATCATCATGTGTCAAGGCAAAAAACTGCTCATAGAAGTCTCCTCCCTTGCCAGTTCGAAAACGTTCTACCAAGCAATCCTTGAACTCCCTCCAACTCCGTATGGGTCGTTGCATGTCCCTCCACTAGTACCAAGCCAAAGCCTTGATGTAGGCAGGGGGGGTCAAATCAAATCCTAAAATTTGATTTTGACTTCTTTAGCTAAATAAAATTTTGAGCGAAAAGTTAGCTCATTATGAGCTGTTTTTTAGTTCATTTATTGCTCATTATTATGTGGACTTGTCTCTTCCTTCCCCCCTTTTTCTTCTCCTGTGCTCTGTCCCTTGGATTTCCGAGAATGGCTGTTAATTTCTCTGTGCTGGGTGAATTCCGTGCTCTATCCCTTGGGTTTCCGTGATTGGCTGCTGGTTTCCTGTGCTGGATGGCCTTCCTGTGCCTTGCCCTTTGGTTCCCGCGGCTACTGCTTGGTTCCACGGGCTGGCTGCTTGGTTCCAGGTGCTGGGCTACTTGGTTCCGTGAGTTCCCTGTTTGGTTCTTTGGGTTTCTTTTCTCTGTTTTGCTGAAATGTTTGGGAAATGTTAAAGTGGTTGTTGACTTTTTATTTCCCTAAATTCTAATTGGTTTATTTGGAGTTTTAGTGGTTGTTTGTATTCCTTCTTTTGCCTATATATATAATATGTTTTTAGATAAAAAAAGAGTTTTATGTAAGTTATTTTTTGAAGCCATAACCTGCGAGCTTTGTCCAACTTCTCTTCCTCTCCTCCTTAGGAAAGCTTGCGAGCTTGTCCTCCTCCTTCATCTTGGCTTCTAACCTCTTTCTTCTCGCCACAAGTGTCACCTCACCTGTATCCTTCTTCTAATGGAATGAAAAGCAAGTTTAGGAAAGTCGTATGAGTCGTTTTGTTTTTATTTATAAAGTTTGTAAGTCAGAAGTTGTAAGTGTATTTCCATTATAATATAAAAGTTATATTTTGTCAAGTTTTTGAGTATTTTATGATTTTTTATATCTCCTAGTAAGGTCTTATTTTTCTAGCAAAAATTTAGGTCTCTTCCCAAATTTTTGCTTACATCAAGCCTTCCCTTCCAAACATAGGGCCATTGTCGACAATCTCTCATCCTCCGTCAATTTATTGAATGTGAAATATATTTCTACCTTGTAGATCCACCCATGCGCATCCTCCCCCCCAAAGATTGGCATCTTCAATTTCCTCACCCTCGGATCACCTTTGTTCTCTCTGTTCCCTCCATAATTTCTCATTCCCCAAAGGGTTAGTTCCCCCCCAATTGTGCCAATCATCCCTCCTCCACTCGTATCCAAACCTTTCATCACAATCTCACCTTTTCCCTTCAAATTCAGCACCCATTCGATCATATTCAACCCCTCTCCTTTCAAATTCGACACCTTTGCGATCATAATCAAGTCCTTGTCTTTCAAATTCAGCCCCTCTTATTTCAAATTCAACACCACTCCACTCATGTGCAACCCCCTCACGCCTCTCCTCATACCCTCTACCAGACTCCTCCCTAGGGATTGGCCCAAGGGGAGGCATTTTTTCTATTCCCTCCAAAATCTCCACTTCTTGATCTTCCCTTCATCTGATTGGCTTAGGGTTTTCCCCACTTCCTCAGCTGTTGGCACCTTCCCTCACCTCAACATCGATATTTTAGTTTGTCCCTCAAGCACTTTCTTCAACATCTCCTCCAAGATGAAAAATTTCGAATTGAACTTATCATGTATGGCTGAAATATTATCTTTTATATCTGAAACTTGACTTCGGAGATCTGAAATTTCATATTTCATTTGTTCGATCTCCCCTTCCAATACTTCCACCTTTCTTCCAGCCATGGGAACCTAGATTCAGGCTCCAATAGCAAAGATCAACAAGTTTGACGCGAATATGGCCTCCAAAACACCAAAAATAACAAGATCGGAGAGGAAAACGCACCATACCATAAATCAATGAGGATGATTTATATTTCAGCCCAGAAAACAGCTCTAATACCAATTTGATAAGAAATACTTGAAGATCTCAAATAAAACCTAACGATCTTGACAAAAATAGCAAGAAATCTCCACAAATCCAATGAAAAATCAGAGAAAAATAGGAATTTTATTTCAAGAACACAAATTAACGGAAGAAAATAGCAAGATACAATTGACCCTCTATTCGAGAGGAGGATCTATCTCTCGCAAATCTCTAGACGCTGCTAGAGCCCAAAAACCTAAACCTAAAAGATCTCAAATTTCAGCCAAATTCAAGATACCCTAATCCAAGGAAAACAATCTATTTAATGTATACAATTCAAAAGGAAATCTATAAACAATCCCTACATTAAAATTTTCCTCCTAAACTTCTCCAAAAACCTTCCTAATCTCCTCTTCTTGCTCCATTCTGTTTGATCGGCATGCAGGAGGCGGACTCTTTCGCCTCTGTTGTTCATAAGCCAGCCTAGCATGAACCAGCTGGACTGGTCCAGTGGACCAGTCTAATAGAAAATATGAATGAAACTACTTTGGTAGTTGCTCACTCCCTCCTTCAATTACCTAGAGTTGACATATCATCAAATTGCCTAAACCCTTCTACCTCAACTACCTAAAGTTTTAGGCAAGCTCGAAATTGCCTACTTATCTATATATTCATTTTTCTCTGCTTATTGTGTTTACTGTGTTCTGTTTGTATCAAATGGTGCTCTCATTAGGAATAAATATTGTAATGTGGCTATAAGGTTGTTATCAGGTTACTAGGTTGTTAAGGAGTTTTTTATGTTTTATTGTAGGCTATAATAAACTTCATAGGAGAGTTAGAGCATCATGAAAGAAAATATGTGAAAACCTTGAGTTTCAGAACATTCACCCTTCTGATAAAAATACAAATAAATGTAATAGGATAGTTTATTGAGTCATTTGAGTTTACAGATAATTAAATATATTAGGTTACTTTATAGTTTATTACCATAGGCGGATCCAGGCATAGCTGAGGGCCCTAAAAAAAAAAAAAAAACTGCTGCGGAGGGGCAGTTTTGGTAATATGCCCCCCCTAAAAAAATTTTATTTGCCCTAATCTCAGCCATTGCCCCGTTCGCATTTTATTTCGCCTCATTTGCTGCCCGCATCCGTTTCGTGAAAACTGAAGAGGTCGTCGACTCGTCGACGTCCTCGTCGTCGGACAAGCTGCAGGCGGACTGATTGGCAGAGCACTCTCGAGTCTCGATCACAGTTGCAGCCACCGTCATCTTCGTCACTTCGCGAGTTCGCGTCGCGTCTAAGCGTATTCGTGAAGAGGTCGCCGAAGGCCCGAAGCTCTCTCTTCCCATTTTGCATCCGCCTTCATCATTTTGAAGGTAAGTTTTATTTTTTTTGGCAAATCCATACCACTCCAACTAGTCCACTAGTTCTATTTCTAATTTCTTGCTTCAGTTTTTCCTTTTATGCATCTTGAAAAAATTCTTTTATGCATCTTGAAAAAATCAATTTACAACAGAAAAAATCTATTTACAGTAGAAAAAAGGCTATGGTATTTTGTTTTATCAAAATCTGTTGTGATTTTTTTTTGTGTTGTGTTGGACCGTTGGTATTAGTTGCTTTTATAAATTGCAATCTGCCAATCTATAGTGTTGCAATGTGTTTTCTAAGTAATTTTAAGACAACTAGTGTGTGTTATCAGTTTTTTAATTTCTGCTGTTGAATTTTTTTTTGTTTCCCTTTCTTCAACCAATAAATAATTCACCACCTATTCTTCTCAACTAAGGAGACAACTAGTCAATTTTTGATGCGAAGTTCACTCACTTATTGCACTGGACCAAAAATATTCATGTATCATCATACTAATTTAATATCAACATATTTTGTTTTTGTAATACAGTTTAATAACTAGAATATACCTCAAGAGTAATTTTGTTGCTATGCCAGCAAAGTAGAGGATCTTATATTAGTTATATAAGCAGGCTGCATTAAAGTAGATTTCACGAGTAATTGATTTGTTCTGTTGTATTGCCTATTTGATAAACAATTCCAAATCATTTTAAACAGTAAAACTAAATCATTTCAAAGGTAGATTTGATGAGTAATTGATTTGTCCTGTTGCTGCCTTATGCAGTTTCTCATTATAAAGTTTTGAAAAATGGAACGATTCTTGAAACGGAAAGAACGTGTCGAGATTGATATTGACAATCTACGTGCTGATCCTGGTCTTCGACCATCCATCTGGAGTTATGATGTAAATGATCGTGATAGAGTTCGAAGAGCTTATTTATTGAAGGGACCGCATCAACCCAAAAATCATCAATTCCCTCAAACAACAATAAGGAACATTGCACGTAGATTTAACTCAAAATGGTTTGAAGACTTTCCTGTTTGGATGGAATATAGTATTCAGAAAGATGCAGTATTTTGCCTTTATTACTATTTATTTAAGCCTCAAGAGGAAGTTAATACTAGCAAAGGTGGTGGAGATACATTTGTTGGTGATGGATTTAAGAATTGGAAGAGAAAAGAGAAGCTTTTGAGTCATGTTGGAGATCACAACAGTGCACACAACAAGGCAAGACATAAATGTGAGGCTTTAATGAAGCTTCAAGAGCATAGTATTCCCGCTTTATGGTCGAGCAAAGAAGAGAAGCAAAAAAAAAAGAATATCGCACTATGCTAACTGCAGCTGTTGATTCTGTTCGATTTCTTATTCGTTAAGGCCTATCATTTCGTGGGCATGATGAATCTTCTAGCTCCAATAATCAAGGGAATTATGTAGAACTATTTCAGTTTCTTGCAAATCATAATGAAGAAGTTAGAAAAGTTACATTTGAAAATACAAATGCAAAGTTAAAATTGATTGCACCAAAAGTCCAAAGAGAGATTTGTGCTTCGATTGCTGCTGAGATTTTGGCTGTAATCATGAATGATATTGATGATTCATACTTAACCATTCTAGTAGATGAATCTTGTGATGTGTCTACAAAAGAACAACTAGCTATTGCGGTGAGATATGTAGATAAGTTGGGCCAAGTAATTGAGAGATTCATAGGTGTTACTCATGTTACTTCAACAAATGCAATAACACTCAAGGCAGCAGTTGAAGCACTTCTTGCAAAACATTTGTTAAGATTACCCACAATAAGGGGACAAGGCCCTAACTAGGGTTTCTGATTTTAGACCGATCGGCCAGGCCGATAGGACGATCGTTCAGGCTGATGTTACCAAAAACAAAAATCCTAAAGGGAACAACATGAAAACTTCTATGTTACATAACAACATGTCCCACACCCAATACAATTGATTCAAGAAAGGAAAAGATTACAAACTGACACAAACCTAGTCTACCCAATCTTGAGCTGGTTCTGAATTGCAGTCTTGATTGTGTGGTCCTGAAATGTTAGTACATAAGGCAATCGTATAGAAAAGGAAATGTTTGCTATCATCAAAATCATGAACCATAGATCCGCAACACAACATTGATGTTAAGTATGCTACAAATAGCTTGTTGTTTAGAGTATTGGGGTAAAAATATGTTACTTTTGCTATTGTTACGAATAAACCAGAGGCACCTCCAAAAGTATCCAATACATTAGCCAAATTTGAAGCATTAAGGGTGGCATACATAGGGTGAGAAAAATGTGAATCTTTGATTTGAATGCCATAGAATGGTTAAGAAGAGTTAGGGTTGTCTAACATTGAAGAAAGGGAATCCATTGAAATACAAAATAGGTAGGAGGAAAGGGAGAAATCCTATCTAAGGCTAGAAGAAGTGATAAAGAAGCACTCCAAAGAGCCATTGATGCACACACAAAAAAACACATTCAATACACCCTTATCCAAGAGATGAAAATCACAAGAAAACCTTTACAAGGAAGCATGCTCAGTACAAAATCTCTATTAACTTTATCGAAAGTTGTTTGGATGTCTAATTTTCCACAAAAGAACTTCAAAAGTTTAGGCTTTTAAAAGAGAGCAAAAAGTTCAACAACAAGAATAATATTTTTAGTAGTAATTTGTTTTATACAAATCCCACTTGACTAGGGTGAATGACGTGAGGCATAACCACCTTGATAATATTGGCAAGAATTTTTGCAACAAGCTTATAAAAGGTGTTGCAAAGAGAAATGGCCCTAAAAATTGTGATATTTTTTACACGGGATGTTTTGGTAAGAAAGACGATAGCAGTGGCTCTAGCTTGTTTGGAAAGGTTGGATGTAAAAAAAAACATTATATAGATTTATAAAGACGAGGTCCAATAAATATGCCAAGAACTTTTAAAAATTTCAAATGTATAGCCATTAGGACCCCGTGTAAAAGATTTAATCCCAATGAAAATATCATGCTAAATTTATTCATTCGAAATATGAGCAACTAGAGAAGGCATAAAATGAGAGGGGACATTATACCCTTAAGGAATAAAATCATGATTCACACCAGAGGTGGAGGAGAAGAGGAGTTGAAAATATCTTTAAGTATTGAATGACAGCTTAGCTAATATCATCATGGCTCTCAAAAGAGTCAAGCTGAGATTTTTTTTTTTCCTAATTTTAATCTTGTTGTAAAGGAATTTCAAATCATCCTCGCCATTAGAGAGCCACTAGTTTTTTGCACATTGAATAATCCATGAAGCCTATTGAGAGGAAAGGGAGGCTAGTTTCATATTTATATCATTGAGCTCAAGATTGAAAGCATGATTAGTAGGATTAGATTCAAGTTATTGCAAACATCTATGCTACTTAGCTTTTAGATCTTGAATATAGGATGAAAGAAAGGAAGAGGAGGCCCATTCCTTATTTTTTAACTTTCTTTTTAGCAGACCAAGCTTGTGGAAAAAAGAGTAAATAGGGTTGCCCAAGCAATGAGAGGCAAATACAATAAGTAAATCATAAAAAGTAGGGATCTTAATTCAATTGTTTTTTAATAAAAAATTTGCTTTAAAGGAGTTTAGAAAGGTTAAGAATGAGGGTGTTATGGTTAGATAGGTTGGGCACTCCCACATTGTAATAAGATAGAGATAATTCATTTAGCCATAAAATATTCGCTAGCATATGGCCAAGTTTGGAGTGAATGGGGATAGGACATCTTTAGTTATACCAAGTGTAAAAAAAGCCTGCAAATGCAAGATCAGTCATGCCACAGTAAAAAATGAGGCTATTAAGAGCCCAAAAATTGTTGTTATGGATAATTGAGCCACCCACCTAATCATTAGAATATCTAAAGTTATTAAAATCTCCCATGATAATCCAAGGTTCATGGATAGCACCATACAACTCTCTAAATTTGTTCCAAAGCTTCTCCCTCACAACACTATTATTGGAGGCATAGACAATAGAAAAATTGCAAGGCTGGGCATTATATGAGGAAATGCAACAATGAATAATTGACTTGAAGAATATAAGTGGGTAAAGATGGTGGTGTGAGAGTTCCATTTTATCCAAATACTATTGAGCTTAGAGATATTAAAATTGTGACCGCTTGCTTCATGATCAAAAATATTATATACAACAAAACAAAAAACTAATTATCAAAATTCATATTAAGGTTAACTTTAGCATCTAAAATGCACAGGATGTCCAGGTTATAAAGCTTGGAGAACTTTTTGACCATTGGGACTTTGTTATGACTATTAAAGCCACACACATTCCATACCACAATGGATGGGTTGGTCATTTGGATTTTCGGGAATGGTAGTTGGCCTTTTTGGCACATTTTGATCTAGTATTCTTAGATACTAGAAATGAAGTATGGGTAGGGGAGGATCATCACTGAGTGTCAAGGAATCTAAATTGACAAGAGAATCAAAATTGTTTTAGATTTTAAGGTTATGAGGAGGAGTTCGGGTAGAATCATTGGAGTTGGATGGTTATGTTGAAGAGTTTAAGTTTGGGATATACCATCAATCAAGGGAGGAGGCTAAAGTTCAGAAATTTGAGGAAGTGATAGATTGAGGTGGTTGGGGGCGGTGAGGGGGAGGATGCATGGAGTTGACAATAAGAACATTTCTGCCAGGGTTATAGCTAAAACTTTTGCCACAACAATATCCAACTTCAACTAGAACCTCATTATGTTTTTTGGGACAATGGTTAGAAGTGTGAACACAAGAATTACAAAAGTCACAAGCTAAAGGTTTCCAATCATACACCATTTTAAGATATTTGAATTTCCAAGCCATTGAAATCTCGATAACATTAGGGAGAGGAGAACCATTAGTGACATGAACGCAAACCCTAGAAAAGGTTAACCATGTTTTTTTAGTCCTGAGCTTGTCAACCGTAAGGGGAATGCCAATGTAGCCGGCAATCTTAGAAATCCCTATGGGTCTTAACAAACTAAATTGAGGTCTAGGATCTTAATCCATAGCAAAATATATGAAAACTCTTCATAGATGGGACTAAACTATGGAGACCATTCATACAAAATAAAATGCTTACCTAGGAAGAATCAAGGCTGCCTGAATATGCCATATCATGGTTTTCTAGAGAGTTAAACTTCAAACAAAAAAATCATCAGAGAGATAACAGGTTGAGAGAATTAGGTCCGGTTAAAGGTAGCAAGAAAATAAACATAAAAAAGGACATCTTTTGACTGAATACCAAACGAGCGATAGCCCTTATTATAGGGCTCCAGAAGACATGTATGCTCTTGAAAATTGAGCAACTTTGTTAAGAGTAGGGATGGAGGAAAGGGAGAAGTTGGAAGAGGCAGGGTTTCATGAAAGGAGATTTTTCTAAATATCGGTGAGGGGGCAGCATGCAGGGAAGAAACCTGGCTAAGGATGGGGAAGAATTTGGAGAGAATATAGAGGAGGCCATGGGAGAGAGTAGAGAACTCTGGTAAGGCCAGAGGAGAAGGGGTAATATTGATGGGAGAGGACACTTGGAGTTAATAGTAGGAGCATTTCTGCTAGGGTTACAGTTAGAACTTTGATATGCCAGGGTGGGCCCCATGGGAGTTAATATTCACTATATAAGGAGGAGAAATTAGGGGAGAAATACTTTAAAAAGTTTATTTAAGGAAACATGACTAATTTGGATTTAGATTTGGAAAGGATTGATTATGATATGTTTTCTAATTAAAGTGTGCAGATTTGAGGCTAATTTAGAGCGGATTAATTAGGATATATTTCCTAATTAAAGAATGCATATTTGGGGGTTGATTTTGGAGGAGATTAATTATGAGTTGTTTCCTAATTAAAGAGGGCTGATTTGGGGGCTAATTTAGGAAGGGATTAAATTAAGAGGGATTTTGTAATTGAAATTTAAATTGGAGAGGGAAATATATTAGGAAAGGGGTCTATTTTAGGAGGGAAGTAGGAGAAACTTATTTAAGGCTAACTTTAGGGTTTATTTTATTTTATGCAAAGTTTTATGAGAGGTGATGTTTACTATTTTTGTGAGGGATCCTAGCGGTGTCTAAGGTTTGGGGGAGAATGCCCTCTCAAAAGAAAACCATTGAATCTTATTTTGTTCATATTTAATTTTCTATCAATAAAAATATGCATTTTTATTGAGTCTCTTTGAGTTTGTTTCTATTTTTGATACCAAGATGTATCAAATTGGTATCAGAGCAAGGTTTTGGAGAGATAAAAATAATGAAGGTGGATGCATTGGAAGGCAAAATGGAGAAAATCAAATCCCATATAGAGGAAAAGTTCTAAGCCATCACTTGGATGCTTTCAACCATGGAAAAATGGCCTCATTCGTTGAGAACTGCTTTGAGAAATTAGAGGATATGATGAATAAGATGCCCTAGATAAGTGGCGGATCAAGGCTTTTGGATGGAGGGGAAATAAGGAGGAAATTTTTTGGTAAAGATTGTTAGGCGACTTACCACTATGTAGGCATTTTAGGGAAGGGGAGTGGATGACTGAAAAAGGAGGGGGCTGAACCATAGGGATTCGGTCATTAGAGGTAGATGAAAGAAATGTGGGATTCTCACCTTTGATACACAGGGGAAAAAATAGAGGGATCATGAAAATCGCTACACTGGAGAAGGAAGAAGCTATTGGGGAGGTGGCAATTCTAGGCTGAGAATGTTAAAGATGCAAATGATTGATGCCAAGGAAGAAGAACAACTCAAAACATTCAATAAACAAATTGAAGAGGATAAAAAAAATAATTATCTCAAGAAATAATCTTAATGAGCTACCAATTCGCTCTCAA